TGAGCGTTGTGGCACATGGGCCTCTTGTTTTTGCATCATGATCAGCCGTTGGGTGATGTTTTAGAGGGTAATAAGTTTTTTTTTATGTAAATTATGCAGAGATTTGTGTTAACAGAAACACTGTTGAGATTAGTATACAAGGTTTTGTTATTTCAAGTTACCGGACACTGTGCTGCTTAAAGCTGAACAGTGTATTATGATTAGAGGAATGGAGTTCTACAGCCCATTTTCTCTTCACTCAACTTTTGCTCTCATCTATTTTTTTACCACCATTAGGCCATAATTAAAAAGTTCCTAGATTCTCATCCAAATTTAAAAAAAAAAATAGAGGCTTGCAGGCAGATTTTATTTTATATCTTTTATTTTTTCCATTGTGCAGATTTTTTATTGACTTGATCAATCGATGCGGATTCATATATAATGCCCGAATAAAAGTCATAGTAGAGGTCCATTTGAATATGCATATCTCTTACTACACATCATCATGAATGTTTCGCAACCAATTATCCTTATTTAATACATATTACAGCATTGTAACCATCTTGTCAGCTGTCAAAACATGCTGACATTTGCATGATTTAAAACGAAAGTTGAATGGTAGTTGAATACCAATCCCGATCAGAATTGAGACAAAGAAAAAACAGAATAAAAAAATCAAGGCGGGTATAAAAAATCGGGGTTGGCGGGGATGAAAATTTAGGAATTTTTTTTATTATGGCCTTAGCTCAACATGCCATTTGCTCACACTTTTGTCTTCACTCACTCATTGTTCATTCTTTCTGTTCCCTCATTGTTCATTCATGTTTTACTTTTCTAAGTGGATGTTAAAAATGTATATTTTTTAGCTCTATCAGTTAAAGACTAGAATAGGCTATAAAATATTTTACATCTGTCTAGCTTTTTATCTGCAATGCCTGTATGTCTGTAAACAATTTGCCAAATCTTTTATTCCTCTTACAGTTTTGGTTTTTATTTCAAAAATTGTACACAAGTAGAAATGCATGTTATAAAGCAAAATCATATTGTGGTTTTATTTTGGAAAAAACTGTTTCCATATATACTAAAATAATTTTTTTTGTGAAATTCTTTCAAAATGCTACTTTTCCTACAGTTTTGGTGCAATTTCAATAAAACTTGGTAGATAAGTAGACTCAAAAACACTATGAATCACTAATTCTGTACTAGTTTTTGATTCCAACAAACAGTAGTGCTATGGTTACTAAAAATTTAAATGTTTGTGAAATTCTTCCAAAATGCTACTCATCCATTAGTTTTGGTTCAATTTCAATAAAACTCGGTAAAAAGTTGGCAGGCTAGACTACACAAGATACATAATTCTATATACAAGTACGTTTTTTTTTATTAGGCCATCATTAAAAATATCTTTGTTTCCCCCAACCCGACCCCAAAATCTCAAGTTGGGTCGGTAGGTAGGTAAATTATTTTTTTTTTCTGACAGCAGTTTTGGAAATACATTCTGAAAAATTTAATAATATCTTTATAAATAAGAAAGAACAAAAGAAACCGATTTTTAAACCGAATATCATACAAATGAAGCAACATGTATGGTAAATTAATTCACAAATATTATTCATTTGAACTTGTAAAATATCTCAGGCCAGCGTAAATTTATTGAAATCGAATATTTACAAAAACACAAGATTCGCAAATACAGAACCATCGGACATTTGAGTACATTTTTCAAACCTACTATGATTTTCGAGTACTTACACAGACAAAATGTCAAGGGCCTTGCGTGGCGCAGTAATTCTAGTGTTTCGTTTTGGAGTCACGACGTAATTCAGGAGCTTATTCTAAGTCACAGGTCCCGACGTGGGACGTGGAGACCGGTCAGTCGAATAAGACCGTAAAAAACGTAGGTCCAGTGTCGGAGTATACATGTAGATGGCATGTAAAAGATCCCTTACTGATGCTTAATAATCAATGGCCATAAGTGCTGAGTAAAAGTCTAAATTAGGAGCCCTCCACCGGCTCAACAATTTCTAAAAGTATTTTAAAGCAAAGAAACAACCTGTTTTCAAGGGCCTAACTAAAGAAAAATAAACTGGAAGTCTCAGGAAGCCGTACCATAAGCAAATTTTAATGATTTCAACACTCTTTGGAAATAGTGTACATGTATAAACAATGTATAATTCAACCAAACCATATCTAAAATGATTTAAGTTTCATATATCTAATTTTATAGTCACGGAGTCAATACCCCATAGATGAAAGGAATAAAGAAACGACATCTGAATTTTATTTATCAAGATGAAATAATCATACAAAGACATATTTACAACTCCTATTGTCCTATATAGTAAAAACGGGATCATACATGAACTGTTTATTAGATCGAAACGAATCAAATGCAGTGAAATTTTTGATATGTATTCACAAGGAGCGCCCCTCATCTGCTCATGAGGCAGGCTTTGCTATGCGTACTACGTACGTAAATTTTAGAAGACACATTTGTAAATACCATCTTAACACTCCTTAGTCATGGTACATTAATTCACGAGATGTCTCAAAAGTTTAGGATTCTAATAATTTAAAGATGTATAAGATTAATACGTCACCATTGTTTTATAACACGAACTAACCCTCTGTGGCCACATGTTGTGGACACCAAACAAAAGCTGCCGTTCTGATAAAAAACGGATTTTGATGAAATTGTATTTTATAAAGTTGATTAACAATAAAAAAATATTTCAATAATCTGATTTAAAAAAACTTTTCAGTCGGCACGATTTAAGTGGGTCGGTCGCGTTAGGGGAAACAAAGGTAATTTTTAATTTGGCCTTATTTTGTTTTGTTTTGTTTTGTTTTTTTTGGATGGACAGTTTTGCCATTGTCACTAAAAATAGAAATTGTAATGAAATTCTTTCAGAACACTACTCTTCCAGCAGTTATGGTCTGAACTGAAATGAAACCTACAACCTATATATACAGCATCTATGTACAGTAATACAGTTCTTGCATCACTTTCTGATTTTGAGGAATTGTGTTGCGATGGGTAATAGAAATAAAATAATGTGTGGAATTATTCAAAACTTTATTCCCCCCTGATGTTTTAGTCTGATAAAACTTAATGCCTATACTGTAATAGGCTTGTACCAAAGTTCGTTTTTCTGTTGAGCATTTTAAGATTTTGATGAATGGTGTATTCACATTTTTTAGAGAATAATATTTGAAAATATTTCAAAATGCTCTTCCCTCTAAATTGTTGTTTGAATAAAAGTATATATAGAAACATAGGATATATAAATTTGTAAATGAAAATGTAAAAAAAGTTCAGGTGCAACTTTTCTTTTTCCACTAATATAAGTACAAACCAGTAGAGATGCAGTCTCAACAATTTGTTTTTAGCTCACCTGAGCTGAAAGCTCAAGTGAGCTTTTCTGATCACATTTTGTCTGTAGTCCATCTGTCCGTCTGTCCATCTATCTGTAAACTTTTCACATTTTCGACTTCTTCTCCAGAACCACTGGGCCAATTTCAACCAAACTTGCCATAAAGCATCCTTGGGTAAAGGGGATTCAAGTTTGTTCAAATGAAGGGCCACACCCTCTTTCAAGGGGAGATAATAAAGAATTAGTGAAAAATTAATAGCATCTTTTAAAATTCTTTTCTCAAGAACCACAGGGCCAGGAAAGATGAAACTCATGTGGAAGCATCCTCAGGTAGTGTTGATTCAATTTTGTTCAAATCATGACCCCAGGGAGTAGGGCGGGGCCACAATGGAGGATCAAAGTTTTACATAGAAATATATAGGAAAAGACTTTAAAAATCTTCTTCTCAAGAACAGCAAAGCCATGATGAGTCATATTTATATGGAAGCATCCTCAGGTAGTGTAGATTCAAGTGTCATCAGGTAGTTTAAAATTCAAGCCGCCCCCCCCCCCCCCCCCCCCCCCCGCGGTTATCTTTTCAATACTGAACTGATTTGTGCTTTTGCCTAGCCAATGTGCTCAGGTGAGCGATGTGGCCCATGGGCCTCTTGTTAATTCTACTGGTCAGAGACCAGAAGAGCTTATGCAATAATAAGGTGTCTTTCGTTTGTCTAGCTGTCTGTATGTTTGTAAATTTTTCAAAATGCTACACGTCCTACAGTTTTGATCTGATTTCAATATAACTTGGCACTCAAGTAGATTAATATAAGATGCATAATTCTCCTTATCTCTTTTGGATTTCGATAAATGTTGTTGCCATAGTTACTAAAACTAGAAATTTCCATGAAATACTTTCAAATGCTACTCCTTTTACAGTTTTAGTCTAGTCTGATTTTAGTACATGTATAACTCAAGCTGTTTACGGTTATGGAAATTCTGTATAATGTCACAAATTTTAGTTTTAAAAAATGTGTTGTGGATTTACCTCCGGAAATTACACATCCATTTACACTCCACTTTTTTTCATATGTTGTATATGTGCTTGGGCAATGATAAAGATTCACAAAGTCCTCAAAAATACTGATATATACTCTGATTGTTACTTATATATGGAATATGTTGACAAAATAAAAGATTTCTACCGTATAAGTAGAAATTTGAGTGAGGATTCATTTTTGGCATTTTTAGCAAAGGTATTGAGATCGCTAAAATTAAATATCGCTAACAATTCATTCTGTATTGGGAGTTACTGTTGTCTTTCTAGGCATCATTAAATCACTAAAATTACTGCTTGCTAAAAATCAATACTGATTTTTAAGGCAAAACCACTAAATTTGCATGTCGCTAAAAATTCCACTTATACGGTATCTAAAAGTTGTTGAATGTACATAATAAATCAGGGTATTGCCAACATGAGGTCATATATTGACAAAAAGGTCTAATTACAGTTGAAAACCAATTACATTACTGAAAACTGTGAAAAGGGGTACACACCTTTGGTAGAAGTATCCGCTAAATATGTAAGAAAGATAAGATGATTTATAATTGCTAATACTTATTCCCTAAGCTGATATTTCTTAATGCTAACAAAAATATTTATTGTCACAGAAGGAATGCCAGAAGGGGCACAATGTAACTTTGAAGAAGGTTTCTGTGGATGGAGAAATGTACAAGGCAAGGATGAGCTTGAATGGATCAGACATAAAAATGCAACACCAACTGCTGGAACTGGACCTCAGTTTGACCATACCACAGGAACAGCTCATGGTAAGCCTCCGGCTTATGCACCATGTGTCAAACCCTGACTACTATTTCGGCATAGTACATCCAAATAAGAACACTACTACAGAAGTAGAATTTTTGCCTGATATAAGGTAGTTCTATACTGGGCACTAAATAAGCTCTGCACTAAAAGGACCCACATGATATATTTCACCCAAAATAATATCTTCAGTTGCCATATTGTACTATACATTTGTAGTTGGGGGGATATGTGTCTATGAAAGTGATATTTATTTAAAGTAATTAAAGATTTTGATGTTTGAAATGATGAAATTTATTACATTTGTCACTGTCAAATCATAGCCAATTCCCTCTCTCGAGAGCTATTAGTATTAATTTTAACTTGCCTGCCGACACTATAGTCTTGGACTGTCCATCTCTCATCGGCTTTTATAGCATACTCGTGGTCCATGTTATCAGCACATTCTCATTCACAGAAATGCTGTATATGGTAATCTCCTACCCCATACCGAAATAAATTATAACTTAGTTATAACTTTTGTAACTAAAAAGAGGTACAAAAAAGTTATAACTAAGTTATCGGAGTTTGGAACCGCCTGTTTTAAGTGAGGTATAATTTAGTTATAACTTAGTTACAAAAAAGTTATAACTTTTGTATAAGTTTTCATTTTTTATTTCAACATAAATACAGCAAGTGCAAAAAGTTACAAAAAAGTTATAACTACAAAAAGTTATACTTATTAAAAGTTACACAAAAAGTTATAAAAAAGTTACAGAGTTATACTTTAGTTATACCCAAATAAACGGTGGAAAAAGTTACAAAAAAGTTATACCCGGAAAAAGTTATTTAAAAAGTTATAAAAAAGTTATACTTAATAAAAAGTTATGAAAAAGTTATAACTAAAAAAAGTTATACCCATGAAAAGTTATAACTTTAAAGATTATGAAAAAGTTACAGAAAAGTTATAACTATGAAAAAGTTATGAAAAAGTTACAGAAAAGTTATACCTAAAAAAAAGTTATAACTACAAAAAGTTATACCTAATAAAAGTTACAATAAAATTATACACTTCATGTTAACCTGTGGTGGAATTACTCAATTATAGGCTTTAAAAAAGCTACTCATTAAAATTTTTACAAAAAAGATTATTAAAATTTTTACAAAAAAGATTATCTAAAAAAAATTAAAAGCACTTACAATTTTATTTTATAAACATGATTAAGAGAGCTTGGTTCATTGTCAAATACAATTGAATGAATGCACATTCATGTTTTCAAGTCTACCTTATTTTTCATCAAGCCATCATAACAGATTGAAATTTCTCAGAATGGTTGTTTTCTTAAAATACATTTTTTTAGCATATAGTCATAAGAGTTTTTGTAAAATTACCTAGTAAACTGCATTCTACTCTTGTGAACTTTTATAAATAGGCATCACTGCCTAGATTTTAACTCTCTAGTTTTTCATGTTAGCGCCATGATCTAGCTGTACTTCAAAAAAAAAAAAAAGAAGGTTCTAAGCAGTGATTTCGGTCACCGTTCTTAGCTGCATATCACTCCTTGCACAGGTATCCTTGTGGATGTACAGTTGTGATTTTTATCTGGATTATTTAAAGACGGGCTGCACCAGTAGTCGGCCGAGCTGGTCGAGGGACTGGGCCGTCCGGCCAGCGGTCTGCGCCCCTTGACAGGTTGTACTGGTAGTAGGCTGAAGTGGTCATGGGACTTGGCCGGCCAGCAGTATGTCCCCCTCGACAGGCTGCACTGGTATTTGGCCGAGCTGGTCGAGGGACTTGGCCGGCCGGCAGACGGTCTGCGCCCCTCAATGGCCTGCACTGGTAGTCGTCTGAGTCTTCATTTGAAATATGCTTGCAATTTCAACCTTCTCTTCATTTTTCTTCAATTCTGCAAAAATTAAAAAGGTTCAAACTTTAAATATTTTAATTTTTTCTTTTAAAAAAAAGTTGAAGTGTTTCCTGCACTCAAAGCATATCAGATTGGAACCACTCTTTAATATCAATTCATTCAAATTCAAGGCATATGCATCTATAACTTGGAAAACAAGAATTAGAGTTCTGTTGTGTAATTGAGAAAATTCAACCTCAAGGCTCATCACATAAACATGCATTAAAAAAATTTTAAACATAAAGAACAATATAGAACCTGACAGCTTTATAGGAATTAGCTTTAGATTTATCGAATTTGAAATAAAAATAAGATTTGATTATTTACTTACCTAAAACAGGTGATATTTTTGAAGGATTTCACTCCAGCTTGGCACAGACATGAGATGCTCATGGAAAGAAATAATGTACCAGTATACTGCTGAAATTAAATAAAAATTAGAAATTTTATTTTACTCATTTCAGTACACTATATCATGTTATGATCATGTGGTGTTTAAAGGCTACAATATGTACAATATTAAAACAGTTCAGAGAATCTGTTAAACAATTACACAATATAGGTCATTTAATAATTAAACTGATCTATAGGAATATTTAAAGAATTAAATATGACAAAGAATAACATTTTTTGTTCCTATACTAAATGCTGAAAAAATATTATGTTTCAATTTCTTCACTTCAGTCTTTGTCACTGACATACCAATCAAAACAAACAAGAAATCTGAGATTCACATGCCTAGAATTTTGTTCATTCTACATATTTCTTCTTTTTTGAATGCCCATCTAGAGGTAATAAACATTTCCTACCAAAAACATCAAAATATTAACATAAATATTGCCTTACCGAATGATTTTGTCATCGTTTCTCTATTAACACTTTCAACACGCCAACATTCAAATCGTCCATGAAAAAATCCGCGCTCTGTTGTTGACCAATCAGAGACTTAGAATAAGTCACGTGATTGAAAATAAATAAATAAATAATTCATAATTAATTTATTTTAAATCCAAATAAACATAATTGTGTATTTTGAAACTTATCTTAAATATTAAAAAGCCAGTTGGTGTTAAAATTTTGAAACAGAGTTCCAACAAAACGGACAAAACGGACGTCAGGGCCGCCATATTTGTGTCGTTGCCGCCATTTTGAATTTAATATTTTATTTATTTATGAAAATAACTAGTAAAACTGGGTTATTTAATCAGGCAAATAATAAAATCCACATGTCCTAGTCTTCTGCTAAAATTTTAATATAACTGGCAGTCTTTATTCCCAACATCGTAATATCTGTTAATAAATGAACATACACACACTGTATGTTGTTGTTTATCTTTCTAGCCACCCTTTTTACGATTGATTTACTTTAGATTTCAAACAACCCTTGTAAAATTGTACCATTGCGTAATACACAAGCTGAAATTTACGAAGTGTAGGCCCAAAAGGTCATCTAGTACAAACACCTGTGTCACGAGAAAACAATGGGGAAATTAACACTGTTTTGCACACGAAGAAAAATCTGTGCAAAATATTAAATGACTTCATGAGATTATAACATTTGACCACTGTTTATATCTCTTGAACATTTATATTTCTCCAGAATTAGGGAAATTATTCCACCTTAAGATGTACATGCATTATTCTCTATTGAGAAGTTGATGGCTCGTTTTAATACTCCCCCTCGAGGGGAGTATTAAAACGAGCCATCGACTTCTCAATAGAGGATAGTACATGCATATAATTTACAAAACATGAAATCTATATAATACGTATTTTCTGAGAGAGAGAGAAAGAGAGAGAGAGAGATTATTCCCAACTTTAGATGAAACTAGTACTTACAAGACAAATATTAATTAAACAACAATATTTATTAATGAGAGAGAGAGAGATTTAGAGAGAGATTTATTCCCAACTTCAGATGTAATTTACTACAAGTCTCAACTTCACATCTCTTCTGTTGAACTTAACAGTGGATGTGGCTGTGGACTGTAATTGATGAGAAAAACATTGGTAGTAAAGATGTCTAAGAAGCCCCTCTTTTTCTTTAAAAAAAAAAATCTCAACTCACAACAAAACTGAAAAATAAATGTCTGCGTAAGTAATAGCAGTATATAATGCAATTCATTATATGAATAATTTTTAGAAAAAGAAAATTCTGCATATAAACAGTGGTACCTTTATGTAGCCCTTAATCATCCCCACCTTTTTATTCATATCCTCTGTAGATATTACAGGTATGTAAAACTGTATTACTATACTAATATAATTATGCTTATTTATTATTTTATATGATTAAATTTCAACAGTTATATAAAAAAAATTAATTTAGGTGTGTGGTAAAAAAAAAAAAAAAAAAAAAAAAAAAAAAAAATATTCAGTTTAACTAAGTAGCCATTCTGCAAAATGACTAAGTCCAAATTAGGTACAAAAAAGTTACACAGAAAAATGACAAAGTCCTGAAAAGTTATGTTTTAGTTACATCTGAAAATGGCTAAGTCCAAAAAGGTACAAAAAAGTTATACAGTAAAATGGTAAAGTCCAGAAAAGTTATCTTTTAGTTACACCAGAAAATGGCTAAGTTCAAAAAGGTACAAAAAAGTTATACAGTAAAATGACAAAGTCCAGAAAAGTTATATTTTAGTTACATCTAAAAATGGCTAAGTCCATTTTAGGTACAGAAAAGTTATAACTAAAATGTAACTTTTTCTTGAGGTACAAAAAAGTTACAGAAAAGTTATAACTTAGTTATAACTTATTTCGGTATGGGACCTCATCGTGTCTCTGTCTATCCTTCCCCTTTTACTTAAATCCTGTTTAAGGAGGGATTCTTCTCTTAAGACTTATTTCTTATATTTAAAAATCAATGAAATTTTCACAGAATCAAGAAGACAATATCACTAAGTGATGGTATCAGTTAGATTAAATTTGACCATTTTATATTAGAGGCATGGTCAGGTCAAGGTCAGTACCTTTTCCCTGGACATTAAGAATAAAAAATTACTGTTGCCAATCATGCGATGCCTACTTATATTTTAATCAATTAAATGTTTTTCTTTTTGCATAAAGAGATATTACCATATAGGGTCTATAAGATGACATTACCAAATTGACATAAATAA